ATCCGAGCTGAGATTTCGTCAATCACCAGACCATGAGCACTAATGCGACTCCCCAGATAAATGAAGCAGTCTACACGCTCGACTACTTCACTTTGTATCACTATTTCAGGTGCCGATGCAACCCAATCGTGAAGCAACCTGGTTGGGATCCGCGAGATGACCGTAACCATCATAGGCGAAGTGATTTCTAGATACCTAATCAAATTGTTAAATTTACCTGAATATTATCCAAAAATACTTGTTCCATTGTTGTTATTGAAATGATGTTAAGTAAAACGTCCACATTGTTGTGTCGATTCGTGATCTCAGTAAAAAGAGGTAACCACAGTGTCATTGAAATCATGAATTGATCAATGTGAGCCGACCATAGAAAACATGGAGAAACTGGACGGTCGTTTGGTCCTCATCAGTAGTAAGCATGCACCATCCTCACATACGTGAATCAAACTTAGAACCATTTGTCTCCAAAATGGACGCTTAAACTCTTGACAAATGAGCTTGTATCCGGTTGTGTTCATGTCAAACTTCAATTAGCACAAGATCTTGAGCAAATATCAGCCATAGTCATTGGTTAGTAGCTTCCTCGTACCTGACATGACTGAACTCCACTGGTTATGACCTCTCATAAGAACTTCACATTGGCATGTTCCATTTGATAGAGATATAGAAAAATCATGACTGTAAAAGGTTTCCAGAAAAATCTAAAGCTTTCCTGTGATATAGAGTATGAAATAAATTCAACATGCTGTCAGCCAGTCAGTCAGTTAGTTGGTTACAACGTAGAACTTAGTACGTACGTTCATCAATGTTCAAGTTTCCATAACATGTTAGCACAGAGATACAGCTGTCAATTCAAATCCCATTATAGTAGAGGTAGTCGATGTATGAGCAATAATCGGAAAGGTTAGGATTCGAAAATATTATTCAAGAAGCATATCCCAATAAGGTAAAGTTAAAAAGAGAAAGATAAAGGTGATGAAGAATTCAGAGGATTAGGATTTGGAATAGGACAAAGAATGGATGCACCTGCGCCATCGCAAACGATTTTGAGCCACGTCATTCAAGGCCTCTAACCATCATGTACCTTTGTCTCGGGGATCCCAACCAAATAGTCTACACCTACCAACATGACTCAGTTCACTTGTCAGTGACTTCATGGATTTGTGCCATATTTTGATTTGACCCCCCCCCCAGCTTTCTTCCACAAATAATCAAATTCTGTGGTTTGCACAATAAGAAATCAATAGTCTATAATAAATTGTGGCCAGTGGATAAAAATCAGAGCAAAGTGACTGTAATTTTTTTTCTTTTATCTTCAGTTCGTATTCTGACATTATAACAAATATAAAATTCACTGTCAGAATTAGTTGTCTTATCCAATTAATTCAAAAAACACAGCAGGGAATAATCAAATGCATGCCTACAGTGAATCATTGAATATTGAAAAATATTCTAAAAATTGTTAATCTTCAAAATTCAACCAATTAGTCATGGCAAATGTTTTTTTTTTTGACAGAGATGAATAACTTGACTTTACAAAATACTAAACAAAGTAATTGAAACTTTAAATGATAAAATAACAGACAAGATCAATTAAGCCAGGCAATTTATTTAGTTTAGTATGTTATGTGATTTAGTTTAGCGCCAAATTCAAAAAGGCATATACTGAACTTCATACAAACAAATTTGGATGATAAACAGTCGTAACAAGCAGTGCAAGATTGTGGTGGATTGATTGATTGAAGTTAGATATTAACATCGTTGGATGCTGTCTCAGTGGTCATTGGGTTAGGCGTTCACACTCAAGACGGAAGGTTTTACTTTTGCGGCGCGTATGCGAGAATCATGAATGTTCATTAAACGATAAATCCTATACTAGGAGGGAATGACCGTCAAGTTTTTGTATGTTTTTGATGGTGGTCTAGCTAATATCAGTTCGTGAAAGTTTTGTTCATACTGGGGACGGTAAATCCCCAAAACTCGCTTGTTAAATGCCTTATTTTCGATTTAACGTTTTCGAGCATGGGCTGATCAGTTGACTTTGAGATTTCATTTCCCACCAGGAACATCCTTGGCTGTGATTGGCTGCTGTGTATTTTAGTGTGCCATCTTCGTAACTGTCCAGAGGACGATTCTATGATGTATAAATAAACGAGATTTGTGTGCTTGATTGTATTGTGATTTCTGGGTATTTGTAGAATATACTTTCTACTCTATATCAAGACTTCTTTGTTAGCCGTTTTGGATCAAGGCAGCCTACCTGGGCGCTGGTTAATTGTCTCGTTTACGTTTATCGACTAAGGTGAACTCGTCGTAATAACTTCAAGCATACCTAGTGACGAACTTAACAGTGGCAACGGGTATTAGATGAAATTTATGTAATCTGTATTTGTTTATAAATAAGGTTAGGCGTTCGCGCACAAGACTGAAGGCCCGGGTTCGAATCCTGCGCAGTGCAGGTGTCGTGGATGCACACTGCCACTGATGAGTCCCATACCAGGACGAAACGGCTGTCCTGTGCTCCCAGATTTCTAATGGTGATCTAACAATGATTGATTGATGATTTCAAATGTGTAAAAATCAATATCATTTATTGTATTTTCATCTTAGAATGACACAACCCAAACGAGAATCTTAAAACAGCTCACTGTATTGAACAACTATCGATTCGAAATGTCTTAGTTTGAATACTAAAACCGATTGTGTTTAAATCGATCAAAAAAATGAGTCTGCAGATAGTTGTTGGAGAATTATGAAATATTCGTCGGACACGGTTATAAAGGTCCAGAAACACTCCAGGAAACTATCTGTCCAATCAGGGCCGAATAGAACTTTCACGGAAACATTTGAAAAGGGCAGAACCACATGCCATGACTGTGATTGGGTGTTTATTCATACCGTTAGTATATTCCCGAACCTTCTAGAAGCCAAAGGTCATGAATAACCCTATAAACACCCATTTTTCTCTGCACATAAACCAACCTTGGAGTAAAGCACTTTTTCGTACTTCTCAGCTTTTCTCTTGTGTTCAAGTTACTTGGGCACTATTTGAAGTGGCCAGAAAACTATATCTTGCATTTATTCAGTGGTGTCCTCAGGGAAATCTTGACTCCTAACAAGGTGTTACGCCTGCACGTAAGCACGTCAGCTTACGACACGACATACTACTCAAATCCGATTATCCCAACCCCCTTATTCAGTAAAAAATAAGAAGACAAGATATGAAGTAGAACCTGTATTCTACAAGCATCCAGAAAGTACGAGGTCCGAGTCCAAAAGAGAATCAGGATCACGGACTAGAGATCCGGGACCGGGTCCTGGACCAAGACAAGGAATATTTAAGTAACACGAAATATCGCCTTATAATCTTGTAAGTCGTAAGCGGCTACAAACTGAATGAGTGGTCTTTAGTAAGCACCTGATCGATGTAACAGTTTCTGAACAGTTTAAAAAGGTTTCTTCTATGTATACAGAATATGGAACAACTGAATATTTCCACATGTTACCTACTATCCTCTATTTACTAGAAGCCTTAACTATCTTCTCATCAATCTGAACTATCTTTTAAAATATATAAAACAACTTATCTGACACTAAAACGCGAGGTGATAATAGGAAACGAAAAAAAAAGGTTAGTCGTGAAGATAAGAGAGTAATTAAGAAGTGTAGAAAGGATTTGATTGGTCTACAGTATTGTTACAGGTATGGGGCTACCCACACCATGGAAAGTTATTTCTTGAAGAACTTGAGAAGGAATCTAGGTTAGTGCTGGTCTTAGTGGCCTGGCAACGTGACTGCAGACTCCAAGGGAACAAACAATGCTTGAGGCCGGTCAAGCATGGCCTTTTTTAAGGAAAGTTTTTAACGCGTCGTTACCTTCGCTCTTCCAATGGCCTATAAATGGAATAAGTTGAGGTGTGGCATTTTTAGAATTGACCTTTTCTAACCCTTTCCTTCCGTTGTGATAAGACCACATCACTTCAGATGCTGGCTGTCCGAAGGAAACACCTTACCACTGTCATGCCCCTCTATTGCCTACAATACAATACAACTTTGTCCTTACACTAAAAACGCACAATCTTAATGAAATTATTTCTCCTTTATATTATTTAGTTGACGCACACTCTAACAAATTTGACATTCACATGGTCAAATTTCTTAGAATATTCAAAAGCATTTTGAATTAAATCTCGTCTACACAATATCTAAATTAATGTCAACTTAAGTAAAAAAAACTACTTATTTAAATATTGACGTAGGGTCTGAGATGATGTCATAAAAAACGTCAGAAATTCAATCGTCTACTTACTATTCACAATTAGAATATTCCCAAAATACCATTATGATTGTTTTTTTTGCTCGATAAACTCTTTGTCAAGTTTTAAATTTGTTTAAAATCATCATCAATGCAACTACTGACAATCATTGATAATTAAATGAACATTGAATATGATTTTTACAATCAGTGAATACCAACCAATCCATGGTATCGGATCGTGTTGGGGATGTTAGATCCCCCAAAAACTCGCTTGATAAAAAATGCCTTATTTTGGATTTCACGTTTGCAGTCAACATGGGTTGATCAGTTGACCTTGAGATTTCATTTCCCGCCAGGAAAATCTATGGCTGTGATTGGTTGCTGTGTATTTTAGTGGTCTATTTTTGTGACTCTCGCAAGAACGTTTCTATGATGTATAAATAAACGGGAATTGTTTGTGCTTGATTGTATTGTGTGATTGCTGGGTGTTTGTAGAATGCACTTTCTACGCTTACAAAGCCTTCTGTTTTGCAGTTTGGGATTCAAGGCAGCCTATCTGGACGCTGTTTCATTGTCTCGTTCTTGTTAATCGACTAAGGTGAACTTGTCGTAATAGCTTCAAGCATACCTAGTGACGAATATATATTAGATCGAATGCCAATGGTGGTAAGGAATACTTGTGTTCAACTGTTCATGACACTTGATTGACTAACAGAATTAAACTGCTATTTTTAAAAAAACATTACATCTTCCACTTACCACAAGCAGCTTCATGTATACTATTGAATTGATATTCTTTTTTCGCCTGCTTTTCAATGATTTCTTGTTTCTGATCAATAGGATTTTCATCATTTGAATTATTGGAGTTGTGAAGGAATTGTTGACAGCATTCTAGTAAATTTACATAAACTAACCAAGGTAACTGATGCATTAATTCACTATCTAAATTACGATAAGCTGCTTCAGCATGTATAACATTACGTACAGATTGATGATTCTCTGCGATCAGTAGTATATTGGACTTTTCGATCGGTAAGCGATTATCATCATCATGATCAAGGGCTCCATGATCATGTAACCAATGAGAAATCTGTCAATTAAAAAAATTTGAACAAAATTATTTTCAAGTAATAAATAGCTATTAACCATAACTCTATAATGAAAAATCATTCAATGTGATCACTAGTGACTAGAGCTTCGTGAGGAAATCCCCGGAGTTCTTACTTACTTACTTACTTACTTACGCCTGTTACCCCCAATAGAGCATAGGCCGCCCACCAGTTTCCTCCAGCCAACTCTGTCCTGGGCTTTCTTGTCCAGTTCTGTCCGAATTTTATTCATTCTTCTCATATCTTTCTCTATTTCTCGGCGTAATGTGTTACTTGGTCTTCCTCTTTTCCTTTCACCTTGAGGGTTCTATGTAAGGGCTTATCTCGTGACGCAGTTAGGTGCTTTCGGCAATGTGTGTCCTATCCACTTCCACCGCTTCTCCCTGATTTCCTCCTCCATTGGAATCTGGTTTGTTCTCTCCCACAGTACCTTGTTGCTGATAGTGTCTGGCCAACGAATCAGAAGTGTTTTGCGTAGACAACTGTTAATAAACAGGTTTATCTTTTAGATCATGGCTTTGGTAGTCTTTCAAGTTTCCGCTCCATACAGTAGAACTGTTTTGAAATTTGTATTGAAAATCCTGATTTTGGTATTGATTGAAAGTTGTTTGGAGTTCCAGATATTTTTCAACTGTAGAAATGCAGCCGTTGCTTTGCCAATCCGTGCCCTCACATCTGCATCGGATCCACCTTTCTCGTCGATGATGCTGCCCAGATATGTAAAGGTGTTAACGTCCTCCAAGGCATCTCCATCAAGAGTGATTTGGTTGGTGCATGTTGTGTTGCATCGGAGAATTTCACTTTTTCCTTTATGTATGTTCAGACCTACTGCTGCTGCAGAAGCTGCTGCTACACTGGTCGTCTTCTCTTGCATTTGTTGTTGCGTGTGCGATAGAAGAGCCCCAGAGTTCGAGTGAGAAGATATGAGCAGTGCAGTTCAATCATGTAGGGATGTAGGCAGCAACTACCGGAGACAAATGGGTGAGGTCGCGTCAAAATCCCTAGATTGATCAGAATTAGACATCAACAACACGGGATGCTAGCCCAGTGTTAGACCAAAGATCCTGGGTTCGGATCCTGTGAGTAGTAGCAGTTGTGGATGGATACCGCTCAGGAGTCCCATACAAGGACGACACAGCCGACCAGTGCTTTTTTGTTTCTACTAATGGTCTAACAATGACTGATTCATGATTTCAGCAATAAATAACAGTCTGCAAAACTCTATCATGAAAAAGTTTACTCTTATTATAAACCAGTGTGGTTCAGTACACAATAGGTTGTTATTGATACAGGGAGCCAATCAGAAGTGTTCAAATGACAAGGCCATTTGATAACAATTAGAAATGTCCTAATGGATGAATGTATAGCATGAATCAAGAAATCGATAGATTTTCAAATGGTATTCAACTAGACTTCCTCTTCCATTCTTGCTTGCTCGCTCAAGTAGTCAGTTTAGTGAGGGATTAATGTGTATCATATTCAGATCTCAGACAACGCTCATCATAACAGTTATAGTAGAAGGACGTAACGGAAAGTATTTATATCGGAATAAAGAGTAACTGTAAAATATCTGGAACTCCAAACACCAAAATCAGGATTTTCAATAAAAATGTCAAGACAGTTCTACTGTATGTGACGGAAACTTGGAGAACTACGAAAGCCATCATCCACAAGATACAAGTGTTTATTCGCAGTTGTCTACACAAAATACTTCGTATTCGTTGGCCAGACACTATCAATAACAACGTACTGTCGAAGAGAACAAACCAGATTCGAGTGGAGGAGGAAATCAGGAAGAAGCGGTGGAAGTGAATAGGACACACACACTGCGAAAAGCACCTAACTGTGTCACGAGACAAGCCCTCACATGGAACCCTTAGTGTCAAAGGATAAGAGGAAAGCCAAGGAACACATTACGTCGAGAAATAGAGAAAGATGTGAGAGGAGTGAACAAAAATTGGACAGAACTGTAAAGGGAAGCCAATGACAGAGTTGGTTGGAGGAAACTGGTCGGCGGCCTATGCTCCGTTGGGGGTAACAGGCGTAAGTAAGTAAGTAAGTATAAGGTCAGTCAGAGTCGAAGTAGCGATATAAATTTAAACAGTTCACATTGTGCTTCAAACATACCAATTCATCTCATTAATATAGATAGATAATATCTGATTAATAAAACTTGGAGAATTAATCTCAAACTTTGTATATGAATATAAAGTCATGTTAACCGGTTACGCGAAGTTTCATATCAGTTCATCAAACGGATTACAGCTGATTACAGATATCTGTGGACAGCTCACAGACTCGTTCCAGGTGAGATTGCTCACTCTCACCCTAGATTAGGAAGACGTTAACATCTGAGAGGAAACACAGAATACCGTAGTCATCCAGAATGGAGCTGTACTCTTTGGATTTCCATACACAACGACAAATGCCGGAGAAGACGGTCAGTGTAGCAGCAGCCTCTGCAGCGGTAGGTCTTCAGACAAAAGGGAAAAAGCAAGATTCTCTGATACAACACAACATGTACTAACCAAATCACACATAATGGAGAAGTGTCAGAAGATGCGGAAACCTTTACATATCCGATGAGCATCATTGATAAACAAAGTGGATTTGACGTAGAGGTTAAGATATGAATTAGTAAAACAAATGTCAGTATTTCTACAGTCGAAAAACATCTACAATTCAAAACTAACTAACTACTCTCTCATAGGAGTAGGTTGCAAGAAAGTTAGGGGCGGCCAGACCAAAACATGACACAAATTCATGAAGTCACTAACAAGTGGACTGAGTCATGTTGGTAGATGTAGGCTAACTGGTTGGGGTCAGCGAGACGAAAGTCATCAATGGTTAGAGACCTTGAATGACATGGCTCAAAATCGTTTGCAGTCGTGCAAGTGCATCCACTCTTTGTGTTCTCTCAAATTCTAACCTTCTGAATTCCTCATCATCTCTATCTTTCTCCTTCTGAATTATACTTTTCGAATCCTATCTTCGATCTCTAATCTTCTCGATTACTGCTTATCCTTCTATTATCTCTATCACTCTTGGATTTGAACTGACAGTTGCATCTCTGTGCTAATGTTGTGGTATGGTAACTTGATGTACTGATGTACTTATGTACATCAAGTTCTGCGTTCTATCTGTCTGTCTATCTGTCTATCTCATAAAAAATACACCAACCAGAATACATAATTCAAATTGTGTTGTGATATAACCTGAAAAAAACTTCCACTATAAACCCAAAAAAAATTATCTCACCTTCATTATAGATTCTTTAAAACTTAAACTATTCATTTCATATTGTGATAAATTTTGTAAATCTGCAGCGTGTAATGCGTCTGCCGTGATATTCACACCATTTACTATGGTAGTGCATTTTATCGGATCGATAACAGTCATGGAGTTGGATGATGGAGTTGCGGGTGATGATAATTCGTTAGCTTTATTTTGACAAATATTCCCAGAATATTGATGTTGATAATGATAATCGGATTTCGACTCGTGATTACTGTTCATATTCGCTTTGATTTGAGATTTATTGTTATTGATTACATCTATGGAAGACTGATGCGTTCGTGTAAAATGTTCCGGGCGAATAGTGATCTTGATTCGATCGATAATCTGGAAAGAAACGCCCAAAAGATAATGAAAAGATTGAAAGTTTGAAAATACTTTAAAAAAAAAGAGAGACTCATTGTATTTTCACCCTTTCTAGGCTTTGAGACAATTTAATTATGTAACCGGATGAATGAGAATAACACACAGAATATTCGAAATGCCAGAACCAATTTTTTCAATCAATAAATAACTGAACAACTAACTGTGGTAACCTTCTTCGGGGAATTTCCAAAGTGGAATTCAACCCTGTGTCGGGTGTGTGCAGTAACTACTGAAGACAAATGTTTGAGATTGTGCAAAATGCCTAGACTAATCAGAGTTAGCCATTAACATCGTCGGACGTCAACTGACTCAGTAGCCCAAAGGTTAGAAGTTCGTGCACATGACTGAAAGTCCTGTGTCCGAATTCTGCGACTAGCAGCAGTCGTGGATACTGAGATGGTGGAAAAAATTTGTAGCTCAGGTGGATGATTGCGGTGGTGTTTCGTTCTCTGAGCTGGTTGTTTTGGTTGTGAAGCTTTCATTGTTCTTCTTCTGAACAACAACATCATCAGCACAAACTTCAGATAGAAGAAGTGAAGTATTCGAATTTCTCCACGTTTGACCTGTAGCTTTTTCTGTTAACCTCGATCTTGATTGGTTGTTATTGACCTTAAACCTGTCATTTTTTTGAACCTATTTTTTGATTGTATCCCCCTTTCGATCTGCTTCTGGATCCTACGACGCCTATGATTATTCTGATTGATTAATAAATTAGGTTAATGTCAATGTGTTTGTTGATTGCTGATTTACCTGAGTGCCAAGCTTCTAAAGATTCTCTAATGTTCTTTGTCCTCCCCCTATCCAGTATTTCCACATTATTCCAATCGAATGTGTCTATAATTGTCGGTGTGTACTGATATAGGCGAAGAATTGTCGTGGCGTTTGACTGCTAATTGCTGTTCACGCAGACGAAGCTGAAGAGGCCGTCCACTTTGTCCGATGTCGTGTTTTTCACAATCTGAGCAGTTGTTTATTTTGTAGATGATATTTGGTTTTTCTTCCTTTGTCATTTTGTCCTTTGGTCTACTACACATAGGATTGATTGAAGTGATTCTGTTGGTTTGTATACCACACCTATTCCAAATAGTCTCAGTAGTCATGCTGTATGCTACGATAAGTCTTTTACGTATGGTAGGATGATTCGTTTATTCGGTTCCTGTACTTGATTTCGCTTCTGCTGATGATTTTGGTTGATGTTTTTTGATGATGTTGCTTGGAAGATGATCATAAGATGCGTTTCCTCCTTTTTTTTAGTGCTTCATATACGCTGCAATGTATCTTCGCTCTCTTAAACAAAGTTTGTATGCAGTTGATTTTTTGGGTTCTTGGATTGTTACTACCGTAGTTTGAGAATCATGTCTATGAGGGTTGACACTCGAAATACTTGAGTTTTACAGTTTTCTTGTGTTGGTACACGTTCATTTTAATTTTCTTCCCTCTTTTGATCTGTCTATTTCTTGATCCTATATTTGCCTATGATTTTTTTTTAATTTGGCTGATTGGATGGATGTCAATACACACTGCCACCACCGGTGCATAGTCCCATCAAAATGCCAGAATGAAACAGTTGTCTAAAACAATGCATGAATCTACTACCTATTCAAAGACAAAAAAATGTCATCATTACTTAATTGAAAAAGCTTAAAATACATTTGTCAATAGTGTATAGGCATGATTTTAAAAAAAAATTGAATATTTTTCTGCGCTGACACACATTGCCCAATTTTTTACACTACTGTTCAACCAACTAACATATTTGAATATATATATATATATACCCAGTGTTGATGTACATTTTTGTAATGCACACATGTTGTTGCAGTAAAGCTTTCGAACAAATTGGTGTTTTAAAGAATGCAATCTTCTTCTAACTGCTACTGATACTACTATTATTCTTCAGTTAGAAATATTTTTCACGCAAAATCTGTCTATTGTGTGTGTGTGTGTGTGTTTTCTAATTTGTTGGCGGTGGTGTTATTTTTGTTTTAGTTTAAAAAAAACCGCTGAAAAAAATTGAACATTGAATTTGAAACTAGATAAATAGTGTTTTTTTTCTTCATAATGTGTCTTTTCCATTCGTACCTTGGCAATTTTTATCGATGTACATATATATATATATATATATATATATATATATATATATATATATATATATATATATATATATATATTGATTAATTTTAATAGAAAGGTATGCACGAACTATCCGAGTTAGGTTGACTAGTTTCGAATAAGTTTTGTTACATAATTTGTTTAGACACCTTATCCAAATGTCGAATTCTCGAATAGGATGGAATGTTCGTGCTTGACTCTACAGACAGACCGTAGCTGCTACCTTGAGGTGGTGGTCGGGCTTGACTATCGTGATGACCCAGACGAGCTATATTGGCTGGGACTTATGTTCCTGAAGGTTCTACCATGCCAGGCAGGTCGATTGGAGAACAATGAGACTAAAAGCAGCTACCCCAGGTCTGAGGGCGAAGTCGTACTGCTGACTGTCATGGAGGGGTGTTCCAATCGGACGACCGGCATCTGCAGCGATGCTGCCTTCTCACAAAGAAGGTGGGGGTTAGAAAAGGTCGACCCTAAAAATGTCACACCTTACTCTACCTCACGGATTTCCGCCTCCGTCGGTAAGGGCTGCCCACTAAGGGCTTTCAAGAGCGGAGCTAATACTCAAAAAACCTTTCATAAAAAGTCCGTGCGTGACCGGCCTCAAGCAGTTGTCCCTTGGGCTCTGCGGTCACGCTCGCAGGTCGTTCAGACCAACGCTAATCTACCTTCCTCTACAATTAACTACCATCATCTCTAGCTCTACTCATGATGGCAATAGCGAGACTATCCGAACAGAATACACAAATATACCAAGACACAATGACCAATTTCAGTCGTAAACATCAATCCCCAGATTCAAATAACCAGTTAGAATAAATTGGGATTCATCCCCATCGGACAATGCAGTTAATCAGTGAACTCAATAACTGAGTGGATAACGTAATAGAAACAAGTCAAAAGGGGGATACAGTAAAAACAACGACAGGTTTAAGGTCAACAGCAATCAATCAAGATCAAGGTTAACAGAACAATCTATGGCTCAAACTTTTATCTGAAGTTTGTGCTGATGATGTTGTTCAGAAGAAGAAGAACAATCAAAGCTTCACAACCAAAATATCATTCAACTCAGAAAATCAAAACACCACCACAATAACGTAATAGCATTTAAAATTTACGGTACTAATGTCGCGTTCTAGGGTGAACATCGACTCTTCTTAGGATACAAGTACATTCATCTGACGAGTGTTTAGTAGGGCGGGATCTAACTCCATTTTTCACGAACGATTAACTGTGCGAATGAGAAGAATCTTTCATCTAGTTCACGTGTAAATTTCACTTAGGTGAGTCCGGTTTTTGAGATGATGGTAATGAGCAGACCAAGATGAGAAGCATAAAAGCAAAGCAAAACGGAGAAGTCAAGTGTGTTAACTCCATGTTATGAGGCTGAGTATGATAAAGCAGACATAGGATGAATGAAGTAGGCGATTCACGTATATACTAAATTAAAAGCAATCAAGCTCATAAGTGAATGATTGACAAGATTGAAAGATGTGTGAGTAATGACTTGAGTGTGGATTGATTAGTTTGCCCAGAAGTTTGAATAATTTATGTACTATACACCACGAGTCTCAAACTCGATGTAAGCCCATCCTGGATCTTATTCAACGCTACCATCCGTTTCTATTTTTACAAATGTTAGAGTTAAGTATTTAGAGCAGCTTTAGATCAAGTCTACTTCGAAAAATTTTTAAATCGTAATATCCAGATGAGTAATCTTCTCTGAAGTGTAATATTAACTAAGTATATTTTATGTAGAACACTAAACTGTATCAGTATGGAGCTCAGCCAGGTGATGAGCCACTTGGTGTTCGGCATCGAAGTTGGCGTTTAACACTGCCAAATGTCAATGGATTTACTTATGTTAGTCTTTTATTCAACGTAAACGAAACCATAAGTGCTAAGGTGTTATCCAAAGTTCAATACAATAGTAGACTTGGGACTTAGGGTATTTGTTAAGTTCGTCACTGGGTACGCTTGAAGCTTTTACGACGAGTTCACCTTAGTCGATAAACACGAATGAGACAATTACCAGCATCCAGGTCGGCTACCTTGATCCCAAACTGCAAAACAGAAGTCTTGATAAGCTTAGAAAGTATATTCTACAACACCCAGCAAGCACAATGCGATCAAGCACACAAATCTCGTTTATTTATACATCATAGAAACATCCTTGGGACAGTCAGTCTCAAAAATAGCACACTAAAATACACAGCAGCCAATCACAGTCATGGATTTTGCTGGTGGGAAATGAAATCTCAAGGTCAATTGATCAGCCCATCCTGGCTGCAAACGTGAAAACCAAAATAAGGCATTTATGAAGCGAGTTTTGGGGATCTAACATCCCCAACAGTATTCCTACAGTTTGTCCTTCTCAGACCAAGTAACCAAACAGACCTCTTAAGTTTTAACTTTTTCTCAGTTGCGTAATTTGTAGCCTCTAACAATAAGTTACGTATTTTACTGTACACAGTAATTGTTCGACTACCGTTTGAATACTGAACATTTTTTTCTTAGTGGTAATAGGATGAATGAAGACTGGAATCGGTTAACAGACGAAGAACGTCGTAAGTACGTACTTACATAAGTTCAGGTTTCCACACAACATTAGCACAGAGATGCGCTTGTCAATTCAAATGCCATAGTGGTAGAGGTAGTAGAAATATTAGCGGTTTTGAAAAAGATTAGGGTTCGAAGATATTACTCAAGGAGTATGATTCAGCGAAACAAATCCAGAAAGAGAAAGAAAAGGGTGATGATAAGCTCAGAAGACTATAATTTGAGAGCACACAAAGAATGAATGCACCTGCACCATTGCAAACGATTTTGAGCCATGTCATGCAAGCTCTCTAACCATCGATCATTATCATCTCGCAGACACCAACCAGGTAGTCTACATCTACCAGATGTCATAAACTTCAACTGAACCCTTTGCAGAAGAAGAGACTTAAACGAAATTGGAGATTTTTCTTCAAAGTACTTGATACTCTTCCTTTTACATCCAATGAAGCTATTCGATATACAGAAACGTCTGACTACAAGTTCCTTGAATCTTTAACATTAGTGATGCGATCTCATTGGAAATCTTCTCTCTATTTGAATTACATTGACAGAAAATGAAATCACTCCTATCCTTAATTCGCTGTATCAATATCTACTACTACTACTCCGCCTGGAGCCCCTCCGTGGCTGCTGCCGGTCTCAAGTCCGGAAAAAAGGAGAAAGGTTGAGTATGGGGTTGGCGAACTCGCTAAAACAACGTTAACTGACTGACTGACTACTCCTCAGAAAATGACTTAAATGTGCTTACAGCTGTAAGTAACATCCCATTCAACAAGTGAGATCATGAGAACCTAAAATGTTTAATCGTTTTATAAAACTGAGCCCATTGATTAAAACTTCCTTACTTGCAGCTAATTTACACTGTAGATATCCCTTAGAAACTTAACAAATCCTGCGTGGTGCAGGAGTTGTGGACGCTCACTGCCCATTGATGTGTCCCATACCAGGACGAAACAGCTGTCTAAACACTGCTTCTAGGTTTCTAATGGTGGTAATCTTACAATGATTGATTGATGATTTCAAATGCGTAAAAAAACACTAAAATATAAAACAGTATTTGATTTAGACCATGAAATCATCAAACAACCTTACACTTACATTCAGATAGACCTAATCAACCTATTTTCGGTAATTATTACTTTTTATTATTCGGTGTTCTCTTTTTCCCAGTTGTAGATAGTTGTATTAACCAATCCGGTATATGCCACTGGAATCGATATTCAAAATATCATCCATACAGTAACAGAATCTCCAGTAGCTACTGAACGGACGACTTTCTTTCCATTGTAGTGAATGAGAACACAGGTGGCGCAACCGGATTGTATTTAACGAAAATTACAGCGTTACTCAGTAAAATTGGAAAACCATACCGTAAATCGTTCATTTGCAAAATATCAGTCCATCATATCGAACTGGACTGTTCCTGTTGTAAAATATCAATCCATTGTTACTATTCATTGTGTTCTAACTCTTCCTTTCTTGATCTTCCCTCATCCTCTTCTGCTGCCAGACATTACGTTTACACTCAGGTCATATACTACTTATAAGTAGCGTGCACAACACCATGACTCTGAAAAATCTATTTCCTGGCCAAGTTTTGAACTGAAACATTTCAAACAATCTAAACTAACACACATCTCTATCCCCCTAAAAAAAACTTACTTTATTCTCCAAAAAATCACCTAATATTCCATTGAATTGAATTAGGGGTGTTTGATCAGATCCCAACTCTAAGCCTTGTTTCCCAGCTGTGACAACAGTGAATACCAGCCAATGCTTAAATTCATTTTGAATTGATGAGGATGATAAACATTGACGTTTCACTTCATTTGGTTCATCCAATTGATCAGTGATCAATGTGTCCGAGCATTTACGTTTACGATTATTTGTACCATTGTCAATATTTTCACTGTTATCAGTAGTATTACTAACATTGGATAAATAATTTAGGTCTGATGATTCTTCTGATGTTTGCATCAGGTTGGCTGTATTATTCATGTTAACAAAAATTTGTTCAATGTTGAATATCACTTAGAATTCTGAAAGTGTAAAAGAAACAGCGCAAAAGAGAAATATTGAGAAAACGAATAAAAAATTTTAAGATGCATAGTATGTGAATACAGGTATAATGGCACACAAATTTTGTGCCTACTGACTACAGTTTTATACATCTAGACATTTCACTATGACATGAAAACAGTCACTAATCAGTAGTCAATCCATTGTAAACGCCTAAATCCCATTAAAAAATACTGGTCACATCCTATGACATTTGATGGCAGTGTCTCAGACTAGAAAGCTAACTAGCACGGGATCGAATCAGCTACAGAACGGTCAATCCTTTCACGATCACATTTTCGTCTTGCTGAAACTTGTTAGATAGCAAAAAAACTTAGGTTTTCAGTTGCTTTACGGTTGGAATAATGAAGCGGTCATTGTTAGACCACCATTAAAAGGCTGCAATAAAACTGGACGACCATTTCGTCCTTAAATAGGACTAATCAGCAGTACACACCCACGACTCCCACATGCGTGAACCGAACCCAGGACCCTCAGTGTCGCACACGAACTCTTAAACTGTAGGGCACTGAACCAAAATCCGACTTCAACCAATCCCTGATATTGCTCAACTTCACCTATTGTTTTCGATAGTTTCTCAATACACACAAAAAGGTTGAACTCCATCGATCACTAGAACTCAGAGGATTTCATCATAAAGTTAGTCACTAGTGAGAACATTTTATCTTACAGTATTTAAACGGTTAGCCATTTTCTCACAAAAACAGTCTAAATCACTCAATTCACGGAGTTGCACAACCTCATACACGGTCTTCGGTAGACACTGCCTACACCCGAAGAGGTTGAAGTTCACGAGGCACGTCTTTCCACTAGAACTCGGAGAAGATTCCTCACGAAGCTAGTCACTAGTGAGCACAGGTAATTTGCATTATGGGGTTATAGAATGGCTAAATACTTTGCCATATTTAGATTTTTTTCAAAATAGCTTTAGTCAAATTTAATATGATCATTATTATGTATGCAGTGAAACACAGTTACCGTCTGACTATGGGATGAAATAAATAAACTGACTTTGCACACAGTCATTTGAGATGGTTTGAGTTGAAGATCGGATCTCCTCATCAGAATTAGTTGTTACCTGGCATTATGAGAGAATTACCTTCAAGTAGACTATTCTAAGTCTTACTAAGTTATGCCTGTTACCCTCAATCGAGCATTGGCCAACAACCAACATTCTCCAACCTATTCTGCGCTGGGTCTTACGTTCTAGTTCTGTTCAATTGTTGTTCATTCTTTCTCATATCTGTCAACATTTCTCGGTGTAATTTTTCCTTCGGCATTGAGAATTCCAACTGAGGCCTTGTATTGTGAAGCTGATCACAAATACTGCTCAAGTAATAATTTTTTTAGAGTTACCGTTCTGAACAAATGATGACAGCAACTTATTGAGATTGTTAAGAATTGTTTGTAAGAAAGACTACTAAACAAATATCACTTATTCATCGTAGTCGGATGTTATGAATAAAGGTAGATAAGATACACATTACAGAAATCATCCATTTATGTCGCACAAGACAAGCCCTCCACTTGGAGTCTTCTCGGGCAAAGAAGAAGAGGAAGCCCAAAGAACACATTACACCGAGAAATGGTGACAGACATGAAAAGAATGAACAACAATAGGATAGAACCGGAAACGAAGGTCCAGGACAGAAAAGGTTGGAGAATGCTGGTCGGTGGCCTATGTTCCACTGAAGAGAACAGGCGTAAGTAAACTAAGTAAGTAAGTAAAGTAAGGATGTTATGAATAGACTTCTATCGAATCCTCCGACTTCAAGATACACAGCTTTTTAAACTTTTTTATTCAAAACCACTATAATATACTGGAATGGCATACTTTACCGATAAACGACTGTCACAATAACAGTTTGCTGTTATAATAATCCTTTGTGTAATATCTTTCAATGACCCACAATCTAACTCCAGTATGCTATGAAATAAATCATACTTAGGCGAACTTCGTTTTTGCGACAGCGGTAGTCAGAAGCCGAATACGGTTCGGTGGATGAATTTTTTTCGATACATTCATTTAAGCAGACAGACGAGAATAAAAAGCGTACAAGCAAAGCGGAACGAAGTGAACCAACCCCTCAATATGGTGAGGCATGACTAGAGTATTTAAAGTCAGATCAAATTAGGCTAGACATGTGACAAGCGAAGTAACAGTGCAGACAGACACGCACACTCAAACCAAGGTTTTGAGCGGATAATAGGACAAGGTCAAAAGATATGTGAATAGTAAGTCGAGCAGTAAAGGTTAAGTAGTTTGTCCGAAAGCTAATAAGACAAGCTCTTTGCGCTCAACTTTTGGTACATATACACTATAATGTTTACAGAAGCACAAATCTACCACTGTTGAACTCCAGTCAACATCAATCTCTTGATCATTGTTAGACGGCCATCATTAGAAAACTGGAAGCATTGTTTAGACAGCCGTTTTGTCCTGGTATGAGACTCATCAGCAGTGCACATCCACGATTGCTGCTAGTCACAGAATTCACATCTAGGACCTAAAAACTTGCGCGCGAACGCCCGACCTCTGGACCACTGAGCCGGCATCCAACAGTGTTAATGCCCAACTCTGATGAATCTAAGGATTTTAAGCTACCTCACCCATTTTTTATCTTCGGTAGTTACTATCTGTTACTCCAAACAACTTTCAACCAAAACCAAAATCAGGATTTTCAATACAAATGTCAAGACAGTTCTACTGTATGTGACGGAAACTTGAAAGACTACCAAAGCCATCATCCAGAAGATACAAGTATTTATTGACAGTTGTCTACGCAAAGTAATTCGGATCCGTTGACCAGACACAATCAGCAACAATCTACTGTGAGAGAGAACAAGCCAGATTGCAGTGGAAGAGAAAATCAGGAACAAGCTGTGGAAGTGAATAGGACACACACACTGCTAAAAGCACCTAACTGTGTCACGAGACGAGCCCTCACATGGAACCCTTGGTGTCAAAGGATAAGAGGAAGGTCAAGGAACACATTACGTCGGGAAATAGAGAAAGATATGAGAAGAATGAACAAACATTGGACAGAACTGGTAAGGGAAGTCCAGGACAGAGTTAGTTTGAGAAAACTGGTGAGCGGCCTATGCTCCATCGGGGGTAACAGGCGTAAATAACTAAACTAAGTTACTGTCTAGACCATGAGTGACGTGACGCGAAATCCCTGAATTATTCAAAGTTCAACATTAACACCATCGAATACTGGCTCAGTGGTACAGAGTTTAAGTGTTCGTGCACAAGACCGAAGATCCTGGGTTAGAATCCTGTGAGTAGCAACAGCCGCGGATGCGCGTTGCCACTGATGAGTTCCGTACCGGGACGGAACGTCTGTCTAAACAGTACTTCCAGATTTCCATTGGTGTACAAACAATACTCTCTATAAACCTCCTAATTGAAAAATCAATCAGTCCGTTTTACTTTTTCTATTGTCATTCTTTTATTTCCATCAACTAGTGTATGTCTTCTTTCAGGTTGACACAACAGTATTGTATGACCTAACAATATTTGCTTCGTTTTATTTCGCTCGAATACAATAACACATGAATTATAATAATAATTATTATTATTATTACAATTATTATTAATATTATTCACATAATACAATCAACTCTTTCAATTGTTTCTACTCAACACAATAGAAAAGCCAAAATCATTTTCTCATTACTCTATCAGTTCACTTCTTTTGTGTGTGTGTGTGTGTGCTGTTTTCTATGATTGTCATCTCATTTTCAGTAGTAGTAATAGTAGCAGTGATAGTAGTAGTAGTAGTAACGAGTGACCTCATTATGATCAACATCATCATCATCATCATCATAATTGTTTTGAACATCTTTAATTGTCTTCTAATGGTGAATGAGATTTATTGATTCGGCAATTATTCAATTATGGTATGGATATTAGCATTGAACGAAGGATAGATAGACAGACAGACAGGCACACAGACACGCACACACACACACACATGCACACATGCACACACACTGAAAGTAAAAGAATCATTATTCAAATCTCTTTTATAGATTATTATTATTATTATTATTATTATTATTATTATTATTATTATTATTATTATTATGATAATCAGATGATTAAATCAATAAGTTTTTTCGTGAATTTTACCATTTAAAATACAATTATTAAGATTCACATTTTTGAAACCACGAATCGATCAATGTTAGATCACCATTACAAACCTGGAAGCACTGGACGGCCGTTTCGCCCTGCTACGGGACTCCTCAGAAGTGCACATCCTGGACCTCACAGGATTCGAACCCAGGACTTTCGGTATTGTGCGTGAACGCCTAACCATGGGACCACTGAGACGGTATCTAACGGTGTTAATGTCTAACATGATCAAATTCACGGAGTTGCGCAACCTCACACACAGTCTTCGGTGATAGTTACTGTCTACACCCGAACAGGTTGAACTTCACTGGTCACGTCTTTCCACTAGAACTCGGAGAAGATCCCTCACGAAGCTAGTCACTAGTGAGCACAGGTACTTTGCATTACAAGGGTTGTGAAGATTGTTAAGTTACACATTTTTGAAACCACGAATACAAACCAGGACGAAACGGCCGTCCAGTGCTTCCAGGTTTCTACTGATGATGGTCTAACTTTGATCGATTCATGGTTTCAAAAATGTGTAACTTAACAATCTTCACAACCCCGTAATGCAAATTATTAAGATTGTTGATTTTCATTGAAGTCCGTGACTAGTGAAGTTCAACCGGGTCGGATGTGAGGCAGTGAGTTACCTACCAGAGTTATTGGGTGAAGTTGGGCAATATCTGTGGATTGATTGAGGTTAGACATTAACATCATTGGATGCTGACTGAGTGGTGGTCAATAGGTTAAGTGTTCGTGCGTGAGACCGTTTGTGGGGCCCGTGAATGCTCACTGT